CTAGCATTAACAGCACAATCCCATCGGACGAATATTCGCTTAACTACCACGACATTGATCAAGTGATCTCTCTCTCTCTCTCTCTCTCTCTCCCTCTCTCTCTCTCTCTCTCTCTTTCTCATATAGAGATAGCCGGTCGTAACACCTGGCTAGCCAAAGTAGATTTTTCCTCTACTTTAAAAAATCATGCCAATCCACCCAGACTTCTGGCACCTTTTTGGCATTTATTGGCGCAATCAATTCTATTTTGCAGTCCGACTAACTTTCGAATGCAAAAGCAGCCCAAAAATATTTGACATGATGTCAGAAGCATTATGCTGGATTCTATACAATAATTACGGAATTCCATACCTCATCCACCTTCTAGATGATTTTCTCATTATGCTTCCCCGACATCTCCTCCAGCCAAACACTTAGCGATCACCCAACAAGTTTTCGCTGATCTCGGAATTCCTCTAGCAGAGGAAAAAACTTCAGCTCCCAGTACTTCAATCGAATTTCTGGGCATTAATCTAGACTCGCATAAATTTCAAGCATCCCTCCCTAAAGAGAAAATCGATCGGATCATTTCTCTATCCCAAATCTTCCTCGAAAAACAGATGTGCACAAAACGAGAACTCCTATCAATTCTCGGTCATCTAAATTTCGCTACGCGCATCATTCCACAGGGCCGCCCCTTTATTTCCCACCTCCTTCAACTATCTACCACAGTTCAAGGTTTAGAAGAAATAATTGTTCTCTCTAAACCAAGTCGCGATGAACTCTGCTTATGGATATCTTTCCTTAAGCAATGGAACGGCTGTTCCTTTTTCTATAGCAACTTAACAACATCCCCCATCGACATTAACCTATACACAGACGCTGCCCCCTCAATTGGTTCGGCGGCTACTACAAAGGACACTGGTTTGCCTCAACATGGCCACCCCAATTCAAATCCATCCCAAAAGACCAATGTTCTTCAGCCCTATTTGAACTCTACCCCATTGTCGCAGCAGCCATCTTGTGGGGGGACGAATGGCCTACGTCTAGCATTCTCATTCACTGCGATTTAATGAAGCCACAGTGCATTGCATTAACAAAAGGGGCTCTCACTCCCAAGCACTTATGCCATTTTTAAGACGCCTTATCTGGATATCTGCTAAAAAACAATTTATCATGATTGCTGAACATGTACCTGGTTGCAAAAACCAAATGGCTGACTCTCTCTCTCGCTTCTCTCTACAGAAATTCTGGCAACTGGCCTCGGAAGCAGACCCTCACCCAACGCCTGTACCTCCGTATTCAGAAACGATATTGCCATAAACCACCCACTTCATAATCTTCACCAAACTTCTCTATCTCTCATCCTGCAAGCAATAGCTCCTAGAACCCTCAATGCATACCTCACAGCATGGAATTTGTTCAAACAATTCCATATTCTACACCAACTTCCCTTCCCTGATTTTTCTCTTCTCTCTATCACTTCCTTTATATCCCACCTTCACACCGCAAATCACCTACTAGCCAGTTCAATAAAGAGCTACCTTAGCGGGATCCAGTTCTTTCACAATTAATCCATGGGTCCCCTTCCGACGCCATCACAAATTCGCAAACCTCCCTTCTTATCAAGGGTATTCAGAAAAACCACCCCACCAGCCCCGATGCTAGACAACCTATCACACTCAAAATCCTTACCTCATGCATCTACACCCTTCGTAAAGGGTATATTTCCTCCCATACAGCCCGCACCTTAGATGCTATGTTTAATCTAGCATTTTTGGGTTTCTTAGATGTTCCGAATTAACAGTTACATCTAAATTTACCCCTCTACTCCACCCCACCATCTCAGATCTAGCTTTGCAAGATAAGGAAACTATCTCTTTCCTAATCAAACTAAGCAAAACAGATCTAATCCAGAAAGGACACTCTATCCTCATTTTCGATATACCTTCACCTACTGGCCCATTCCAAACCCTCCTAGCCTATCTTAATCCAAGAAAATCTCAAGTAGCTAACCCTATGGCCCCGCTTTTTACTGATGACGCTAACCGTCCAGTATCTCGATTCTGGTTCCAAAAACACCTTAAAGAAATTCTTCGCCTATCAGGTTTTTCCCCAGAGCCTTTTTCCAGCCACTCATTCAGGATTGGCGCAGCCACTACAGCAGCCTCTAACGGGCTCTCACACAATCAGATCCAGACCCTTGGTCGCTGGTCTTCTGAAGCTTTCAAATCTTACATACGCCTCAGTAAATACCACCTCAAGGAAGCACAACAGGCTCTAACCAACCCCCAAGCAACTCCTCACACGGCTCCAACTCACAAAGGTACCTAATAGAGCCTCAACTCTCGCTAGAGTCATCCTAATCAAACTCAGCAAAAGCCTAATCGTCCACCCATGGCACCCCTACAGGTTTTGCCAAGGACGCCCCCAAAGGCCATTACAGTCAGCATTTCAGCAACCTCAATTTGCTATACAGAGTACCTCCAAACTCGGACATCCACTGAGGTCGCTCCGAGCTCCAACTCTCGCAAGAGTTATACAAATCCTCTCTCCCACTCACAGATATCTATCTCTTCCTATCCGCAATCTACCCTCAAGCTCTGACCTCCACAAAGGTCGCTTTGAGTTCCAACTCTCACAAGAGTTACTCTCTCCCACTCTATGCTACCTATCTCCCCCTATCTTCACTCTACCCCCAAGCTCTGACCTCCACAGAGGTCGCTTCAAGCTCCAATTATCACAAGAGTTACTCTCTTCCACCCACCGCCTCCTACCACCTCCTAGCGCTTACCTCCGCAGAGGTTGCTCCAAGCTCCAACCCTCGCAATAGTTACCCTAAAACCGCTCTTCCACCCACTGCTCCCTATCCCCCTTATCTATACTCTACCCCCTAGCTCTGACCCCCGAAGGGGTCGCTCCTTGCTCCAACTCTCGCAAGAGTTACCCTTAAAACCTCTCACGGCTAACCCCTACCTCACCGCTAACCAGCACCTCCCATCTACACGCTACCTCCAAGCCATGACCTCCGCAGAGGTTGCCCCTATCTACACTACCCTCAAGCTCAAACCTCCGCAGAGGTCGCTCCTATCTACACCCTACCCTCAAGCTCTAACCTCCGCAGAGGCCGCTCTAAACTCAAACTCTCACAAGAGTTACTCTCTCCCACTCATTGCTCCTCCCAGCTACACTCTACCCTCAAGCTCAAACCTCCGCAGAGGTCGCTCCTATCTACACCCTACCCTCAAGCTCTAACCTCCGCAGAGGCCGCTCTAAACTCAAACTCTCACAAGAGTTACTCTCTCCCACTCATTGCTCCTCCCAGCTACACTCTACCCTCAAGCTCAAACCTCCGCAGAGGTCGCTCCTATCTACACCCTACCCTCAAGCTCTAACCTCCGCAGAGGCCGCTCTAAACTCAAACTCTCACAAGAATTACTCTCTCCCACTCATTGCTCCTCCCAGCTACACTCTACCCTCAAGCTCAAACCTCCGCAGAGGCCGCTCTAAACTCAAACTCTCACAAGGAGTTACTCCCTCCCACTCATTGCTCCCAGCTACACTCTACCCTCAAGCTTCGACCACCACTGGGGCGCTCCGAGCTTCATCTTTCGTAAGAGCTACTCTCCTCCACTCACTGCTCCATACCTTCACTCTACCCTGACCCCCGCAGGGGTCACTTAGAGCTCCAACTCCCACAAGATTCACTCAAAGTTCTCTTTACACTGCTTCAAACCACCTATTCTCCCCTTTTTCATAACCCTGAAAACCATGACCCCCGCAGGGGTTCCTTCAAGCTCTAACTCTAGCAAGAGTTACTAGAATCCTCTCTTCACCCTTATTAATCCTATCTAATTAATGCCCATGCATTTAACCTTCTTTCCTTCTATTATATCCAGCAGCCGGATATAGCTCTAAATTTCCTGCCTTTTGGGGGGTTTTTTCTTTGAATACGCGGCTGCTGTCCCGAGCGATTAATTTCTGCATTTTGGGGAGTTCTGAGATCCACCGAGCTCGGGCTCCCTTCTTGCTCTGCCAACGGGAGGAAGCCCCGGGCTCGAGGAGCCCTTGAGCTCGGGGCTCTCTCCCGGGACAGCATGCCAAATAAGCTTTGTAAATCATCAGCTAAGTGTGAACTCTTGAAGTGAAGTTTATTCATAAACTAATTTCGAGAGGATCACGTGCTTATGATTTATCACGTCCAGTCTCGTATTTGCTAATCACTAATCTTCCAATCATATGAGCCCTAAGGCACCATAAATAGCCTCAGTTTTCAGTTCACTTTATCTTCGTTTGGAAGAAACCCCCCTCCTCCCCTATTCTCCTCCTTTACCTGCGATTGGGCGGCAAGGCGGTCCAGTGGTTAGCACTGTGAACCACACAGCAAGAATACTGCCGGTCCTAGTTCTATAGGACCGGTGAGTGTTTCTGTGGGGAGTTTGTATGTCCTTCCTTTGTCCGCGTGGGTTTTCCCCGGGTTCTCCGGTTTCCTCCCACCATCCAAAGACATTCAACATACATAACAATCAAGCTTGTCTAATTCCTTACGTTCCCTTAGCTACAGCAGCAGGGGAGTTCTGAGATCCACCGAGCTCAGGCTCCCTTCTTGCTCTGCCAACGGGAGGAAGCCCCGGGCTCGAGGAGCCCTTGAGCTCGGGGCTCTCTCCCGGGACAGCATGCCAAATAAGCTTTGTAAATCATCAGCTAAGTGTGAACTCTTGAAATAAAGGCGAATCAGCACAACCTGCAAAATGCAAATGATCAGAGCCTGTCAAACCTGCTCCAATAAACCAATTCACAGATAAACTATGAATATAATCATTAAAATATAAAATATAAATAAAGATTTTAGAGGTAATTAGATAAAATAATCTACATAAAATACAATAAAATACACTGATTTCCTTGTGATTGAAATCACAACCCTGTAAATGTTTTATTTCTTCTGTCAATCCACTGAATGGGATCCACATTTGATAACCCAATATGAAACTGTATCTGTAGAGTGGAGAATCATTTACCTCAGTGTGTCCAGTTTACAGTGTTGACTCTTCAGTCCATCAGAGAGAAGCTTCACTCCTGAATCCTGCAGGTCATTGTTACTCAGGTCCAGCTCTCTCAGCACACAGTTTGAGGATTGTAGAGCTGAAGACAAACTCTCACAGCACTGAACAGTGAGATTACACGTGACCAGTCTGAGAAAAAAAAATAACAATCAATATTACTGTGTAATTTTTTGTAAGTTGTTTAATGCAATACATAATTATAATCCATCCATCTAACAATCTACAGGAAAAAACGTCTTGAGTCTGGACATTTTGCAGTTTACTTAGAAAAGATTTGAATATATTTTTTACAAACATTCATTATTAAAGCTATGATTAAAATCACAACCCTGTAAATGTTTTGTGTTTTTCTTCTGCCAATCCACTGAATGGGGCTCCACATCAGGTAACCCAATATGAAACTGTATCTGTTGAGTGGAGAATCATTTACCTCAGTGTGTCCAGTTTACAGTGTTGACTCTTCAGTCCATCAGAGAGCTTCTTCACTCCTGAATCCGGCAGGTCATTGTTACTCAGGTCCAGCTCTCTCAGCACACAGTTTGAGGATTGTAGAGCTGAAGACAAACTCTCACAGCACTGAACAGTGAGTTTACACATGACCAATCTGAGAAAGAAGAACACAGATTACATTAACAGTGTGATTTCAGTCATTCATCTGATGTAAAAACAAACTATGAGTTTAATAATATGACTAAACTATTGGAATTTGTGTCAGTTAGAATTATTGAATATTGTTATTTAATAAAACTGAATATTAAATGTCATCTAATATATTCTTGATTATTTTGAAATGTGAGAAAACTGCTAAATTTGAGTTCAGATAAGAGGACCACGAGACTTTATATATTTATGAACCTGCAAAATGCAAATGATCAGAGCCTGTCAAACCTGCTCCAATAAACCAATTCACAGATAAACTATAAATATAATCATTAAAAATATAAAATATAAATAAAGATTTAGAGGTAATTAAATAAAATAATCATTAAAATACACTGATTTCCTGAACTGATTAAGAAAAAGAGCAACTTTCATTTGATAAGCAGCATTTTGCAGTTTCTCCACTAATGCTCTTAAATATATCTGGACATTTCCATCTCAATCAAAACACTTTTAATGTTGTAGAGTGGAGAATCATTTACCTCAGTGTGTCCAGTTTACAGTGTTGACTCTTCAGTCCATCAGAGAGCTTCTTCACTCCTGAATCCTGCAGGTCATTGATACTCAGGTCCAGCTCTCTCAGCACACAGTTTGAGGATTGTAGAGCTGAAGACAAACTCTCACAGCACTGAACAGTGAGTTTACAGCTCTGTAGTCTGTGTAGAGGACAGTAAAAGACACTGTATTATTGTGTGTGAGTGTGATGTAATTATTGAAGTGTCTATAATGAGTGATTTCTCCTCATAGGGAAAAGGAAAAGACTCCTTTAACTCTTCAGAGTTGCTTTAATGGTCACATGGAGGAAGATCAAACATTTGTATTTCATTATTACATAAACTTTATAAAGAGAAGATCTCTGACCAAAATGAGTCGGCCAGACAGATTTATTTATTGCTATTTCTGTTCTTATATTTCTGATATTTCAAATCCATTCAGATCCTCATATTTGTTAAACAGAGCAAGACTGTGATATAATATTAACAGACAGAAAATATGACTTTACAAACTGTATTGTAAATAAATGACATCAACATCTTCATATTAGTCAATAATATTCCTGAAATGAATATAAAACTGACTGAATATAACTTTACACACATGAACATCAGTAAATAAAGAGACTCAGTGATGGGCTGAACATCTGCAGAAACACAGCTCATTTAGAGACGCCCCAAAAACACCAAAGAACACCAATCAATGATCATTTCAGCAGAAATGACACTAAAGAGCAATATTATATCTGATATAAACAGGGTTTCTCATATTTGACTTCACATTAAATATGAAATATTCACAATAAATAAACAGAAATAAAATACATCACAGCATATGCTCATTACCTCATCAGACTTTACAGCATTTCACAATGGAAAAGTCTTGATGGAAATGTTTTTATTTTACCTCAGTGTGTCCAGTTTACAGTGTTGACTCTTCAGTCCATCAGAGAGAAGCTTCACTCCTGAATCCTGCAGGTCATTGTTACTCAGGTCCAGCTCTCTCAGCACACAGTTTGAGGATTGTAGAGCTGAAGACAAACTCTCACAGCACTGAATAGTGAGTTCACAGCGCTGTAGTCTGTGTAGAGGACAAAGAGCAACACAATCAGCAGTGAGAAATGAGCAGTGTTGAGTGTCCATGAGTTCAGTCTACAGTGATAAAAGCAACACTGAAAATAAACTATATATATATACTGCTCAAACAATAAAGGGAACACTAAAATAACACATCCTAGATCTGAATGACTGAAATATTCTTATTAAATACTTTGTTCTTTACACAGTTGAATATGCTGACAACAAAATCACACAGACATGATCACTGGAAATCAAATGTATTAACCCATAGAGGACTGGATTAGGAGTCACACTCAAAGCTGTAGTGAACTGCAGGAATTGCTGACACACTCCAGACACATGAGGTCCAGCATTTTCTTGCATTAGGAGGAACCCAGGGTCAACCAGACCGTATATGGTCTCACAAGGGTCTGAGGATCTCATCTCAGTACCTAATGGCAGTCAGGCTACCTCATGGTGTTGTACCATGGTGTTGGGCTGCCAATCCCATCTGTGGACATTGGGCCCTCATACCACCCTCATGCCTCAGAACAAGCCTGTTTATTTAAAATAAAACATATCTTCTTTTTATTTGATTATTGATTGAATCTACATTAAACTAAACTAAAGCTGTATTTCCCCATTCTTATGACTGTACTGAATTATTGAACAGATTATTAATAACTAATCAGAGAGCATTTTACTGAGCTCAGTGTAAAGTTTAGTGTTTAGGCCTACAGTAAATGTAATATTAGAGGCATGTCTGCGGCGAGACGGCAATACTGTGTCTAAAATTACACTATTTCTCTGATCAGAAAACAAACACAATTATCCAAGAGCAACACTGTGTTAGATTTGAGCAAATACACATCAACAAATGTCCTATTCAGCTGCAGGAGCACAGGGATTTACAGGGATTTGAGTTATTTTCCAGGATAAACTGTAAAGCAAATGAAGTAGATTATTAAATAAGTACAAATGTTGTTTGTGTGAGTAAAAAGTCAAGAAAAGTTTGTTAAATACGTTTAGAAATGCTGAAATAAATGAGCAAATAAGGAAACAGAACACTGCCGCCGCGTCCCCATGCAGTAATATGGTGTATCAGCGATCTCACAGGGGGACGATATGGCCAGCTAAAGATTTTCTGTTAAAGCAGGGCAGTGATTCACTAAACTGATCTGAGTCTTCAGTGCAGACTGATGTGTGTCTTCTGTGATCAATCAATGAATACTCACAGAGCTCTTCTGCAGTTTCTCACAGCTGCTGTCAGTCTCCGTCTTCCCTCTTCATCTGTGTTGAATTTATTAGAGTCTAACTCATCCAGCAGCTCCTCTGACATCTCAATCATGTAGGAGATTGTTGAGCAGTGAGCAGGAAAGAGATACTCCTCCGAGTGTTTGTCTGATTTCACAAACTCCTGAATCTCTCTGGCCAGAGTCTGATCTTTCACCTCCAGCAGACAGAGGAACAGATTGATGGATCTTTCAGCTGAGAGACGGTCATCTCTCTTGATCTGGTATTTAATGTGCTGTGTGATTCTCCTGATGTTCTCTGAGCTCTCCTCTGTGTGTGTCAGCAGATCCTGGAAGAGTCTCTGATTGGACTCCAGTGAGACGCCCAGCAGGAACCGCAGGAACAGATCCAGATGACCATTACTACTCCTGACAGCTTTATCTACTGCTGAACTGAGCAGAACATACAGAGACTTCTCAGAGCTGGACTGTAGATATTGATCATATGAAATTTCTTCATCATAAATCCCCCTCAGCGGTTCTCTGTTCTTTGTTAAATGGCAGTAAAACACAAAGAAAGCAGCCAGAAACTCCTGAAAGCTGAGATGGATGAAGCTGTAGACTTTCCTCTGATGAATCACAGATTCCTCCTTGAAGATCTCAGTGCAGATCCCAGAATACACCGAGGCGTCAGTGACGTCTACGCCGCTCTCAATCAGGTCCTCCTCATAGAACATCACATTGCCCTTCATCAGCTGTCTGAAAGCCACTTCAGCAAGTTTGAGGATCACTCCTCTGTTGGACTGCAGGAGTTTCTCTGGATCTCTCTCTTCATACTTCTGCTTCCTCATGTTGATCTGAATCAGCAGGAAGTGGATGTACATCTCAGTCAGAGTTTGAGGGATTTCTGCACTCACATCTTCTTCCAGGAGCTTCTGAAGCACAGTGGAGGAGATCCAGCAGAAGACGGGTATGTGGCACATGATCTGGAGGCTTCTTGCTCTTCTGATGTGGGAGATGATTCTGCTGGCTTGATGCTCGTCGCTGATTCTCTTCCTGAAATATTCCTCCTTCTGAGGCTCAGTGAATCCCTGAATCTCTGTCAGACGCTTGATGTATCTGGAGGGGATCTGATGGGCTGCTGCTGGTCTGGAGGTGATCCAGATGAGAGCAGAGGGAAGCAGATCTCCTTTCAGGAGGCTCCGCATCAACACAGCCACTGATGAAGATTCAGTCACAGCACAAACTTTCTCCTCATCTGAAAAGTTGAGTGTGATTCTGCTTTCATCCAGACCATCAAAGATGAACACAACTCTACACTGCTCATAAATCTTGGGCTCCAGATCTTCAAGTTCAGGATGAAAGTCCAGCAGAAGTCTGTGAAGACTGTACTGATGATCTCTGATCAAGTTCAGCTCTCGAAATGGAAGCACAAACATGAAATCTACATCCTGATGGTCTTTTCCCTCGGCCCAGTCCAGAATGAACTTCTGCACAGAGACGGTTTTCCCGATTCCAGCGATGCCTTTAGTGAGAACAGTCTTGATCTGGGCTTTCTCCTTCTCGATCTTCTCCTCATGTCCTGCTCCAGCTGAGGCTTTAAAGATGTCATTGCAGTAGACTGGAGTGTGTTGTGAGGGTTTTGTTCTGGCTCTTTTCTCCATCTGTAAAACCTCATGTTCTTCATTCACTCCTTCACTCTCTCCTTCTATGATGTAGAGCTGTGTGTAGATGCTGTTCAGGAGGGTTTGAGTCTCTCCATGGTTGATTCCCTCAAATAATCTCTCATACTTGTTCTTCATGCTGGTTTTGTGCTGCTCTTTGACTCTCTGAAGTTCATCATGTTCTGGTTGGAGTGAATCCTGCTGCAGGTCTCCAGTCTGATCATCTCCATCCACACTGCAGGAACAACAACAACACAAAGAGTCAATGAGTACGAGTGTAAAGATCCTCTAGTAAAGCAGTGTGTGTGTTTCTCTCGATGTGCGTTTCACCGGTTAAACACTCTGTTATTACTTATAAGTAGTAGTAGTGTTGAATATTCTTGCCAGTGGCTATATATTTTGTACAGAGCTGAGCAGGTTGATCTCTTAGATCTTACCAGTTAAAGTTATTATCAACTTTTATTACAAGACTGATACTGATTGGTCAGAGCTGGTCATTCTGATAGGAGATATTCTGTAATATTCATCATTATTAGCATTTTTTTTTCTTGATGGAAGATTTGTGAGCTGATCAAAAATCATTATTTAGTGTTCGATCATTTAGTGTTCGATCATGTGTCTATTATCGCTCACTGTAATCAATCAGTAATGTCCACTCCTCATCATTGTCCAGTAGTTGTGTGTGTATCAGAATATAAACACTGCATCACTTCATCTTCATCCTCCACTTCAGACATCTGACTGTCCAGAACTCATGTCATAACACAAGTGTCCTTCCTCTACTGACTCATCTGTATTTCTGCAGCGCTTTAACAGTGATGATTGTGTGAAAGCAGCGCTGAACTAACACTCTAACAATCCTCTACTGTTGATCAAATGAGCATGAGCTGACACTGAGTGTAAAAGTCTCTTGTGTTGAGGAGAATGTCTTCAGTGGACTGAGAGAATAAAGTCTAATAATGTCTGATCTCTTCTAGAAAACACATGATCATATAAATGCTGCTGTATAGTCAGGTGTGTGTGCGGATGATCTACCTGAGGACAACAACAGGTGGTGTGTGTTCACTCCTAAAATCAGTTATTGGGTAATCCTTAGACGCGTCACTCTTCAGAGACACACAGCTGGGCTCTGCTTCTGCTCTCCTCCTCTTCTGTGAGCTGAAACAGAGGAGATTAAAGTTCAGCGCTGCACACACTGGACTCAACACAGCAGATATGTGGGGTGCGTCATATCCTGCAAACAGAGCATTATTGGGGTGCGTAAAAGCAGAAACGACCTTCTTTTCTTGTCTTTCATCAGTCCTGCAGCGCCACTTTACAGACGCATCGGGCAAAACTGCAAATACAAAATGTGTTCTGTTTCCACAAACAAGTGTTGATGTTTTTATATGACGTGGTAAAACCTCAACCTCCAGGGCGATTGGCCCGGCCTGGCTCGATTAAAGCCCTGGCTCGCACTGGCCCGACAGTGGAAATGCGGCTACTGAAGTGAGTCACCAATCAATCAGGAGCGCCGTGTTTCCCAGAGGTCAGCCAGGCAAGGGAAACTCTAGACTTCAGCAAAAGCGCAAGTAACAAATAAACATTGTCTCTTGCTGGTCTGGGGCAGATTGATCTTAAGCAGTTAGAAATAAGCTGAATATCTGCTTTTGTGGTTTCTCAGGTGTTATTCTAAGACTTAGTAATAAGTATTAGAAAATAATTTGGGATGGTCAACAACTCATTTTACATCCTCTGAACTGCCTCCGTGTGTGTGTGTGTGTGTGTGTATGTGCGTTTGTTTGTTGTTTACTTATTACGTAACTAGTTTCATGCATGGTAGTGTAGCTCAATAAATCTTTGTTCTCATTTTGTATGAACTGTGTTCATGTTTATGGGCTTCTTAGGGTGCTTTCACACCTAGACTTTTGTTTGGGAACCGGTCTCGTTTGCCCAGTTAGCGTGGTTCGTTTGGCATATGTTAATCCAGCAATCACACTTGGATCTAAGCCAAAACATTAACTCTGAGATCGCCTGGATGAGGTAGTCTAGACTTGATTGAAACGAACTCTGGAGTGGATCGATTGTAGTGAGAAAGCGATACGATCTAAGCCTGGCTATATTACAGTATTTAATGGATTTGTCATGGGCATACTGCCACCTTAGAATTATAAGGTTCTAGCTGACATTTTTGTTAAAATTGCGTTATCGACATATTCTTATTTAATGACAACTTATTTACATTATGGGATGTTTTTTTGTAAGTTACTTACATTTTAAGACTTTTTATTTAAAAAAACAAAAACAAATGTTACACACATACTGTTTGCTATGGAATGCAAAAATTTTAAAGCTCAATATCTCAAAATCATTCACAATGCAAAGAGAACCTTATAATTCCAGGGTGATGATACAGCTATATGAAGAGAGAACTATGAGCAGGGCGGGAGGTCATTCCAGACATCCCAAGTCTCCCGGAAGCTTCTAAAGTCTCCCGCAAATGCACATAGACTACCGGATGCCCACAAACGAGTGATATCTCCCGGTAATCGCCCGTCTACCTCCTGAAATTCAAATACGTCGCGCAATAACTTGCTCTTCAAACACATTGCGCGCACCCTGTCAAACACCACCAAACCACCACCTTCCTGACAGCTGAGCCGGACTCTGCAAAATAAACCATGAAACAAATGTGAGGAGAGTTTACTCACACATGACTTGTTTTAGCTCTTTTGGTCCGTTTAGAAACTTTGCAGTGTGAAAGCGAACCGCTCCAAGAGCAAAGAGCAACACTTTAACTATTTTAATTCCTGTTTTGGAACAAATGAATCAATTCACAGGTGTGAAAGCCTCGAGCTGTAGACCTTGTTACCTTGCTAAAAGTTACCCAAATACTATGTTAAGTTATTATTATTGGCCACAGAAATAATATAAATGAAATTGGTAAAATATAATGCCTTCCATTTGCTGCACAAATGGTAGATAAAGTGTGAAACGTTTAATCTGATTCAGTCTGACTCAATTGAGTCAAGTCAAGTGATTCAAGTCTTCAAAATCTGATTCCTTGAAATAAGCTGATGAATCACTGATTGATCTTTTAACGTAGGTTGATCCCAGCCGAACCTCGACATTAAGATGGGATGAGATCAGCCTTCAACTCCCCATCTTCCGTTTACTCTTCTTTCTTTTCTTTCTGTCGAGAGTCTAGTTAGGTTGCATCACGAAACCAGTCAACATGACTACAGATTTCGCAGTCTCTAACATAATCTACGGGACTTCACTTCATCAGAAGTCTCAGATACGTCACTTCAACGGCAAACCAACCACCAGTAAACTCACGCGGGAATCCAGCTCCACAGAGGGGTTTCACCACAGCATTAAGGAACACAAATACATCTCCAGATCAATTGCTGAACTGCTGTATGATCTGCTAATCATGTTAAATGATAACCCTGTCTAAAAAACAGTATAGGTTGAATTTATTATTTGGTTCACTTGGTTAGGTTTTACATCTTGAAGTTTTACATCACATCTCTCCTGAACTGTTTTTTTACTTCTATTCCTTGTCTGCAACCGGTATGAATGTGTGTATGTGTGTGTGTGTGTGTGTGTGTGTTAGTGTTGTTTGTAGTCAATAACGTCTCTTTTCTATTGAAAGGAAAGTGGCCTGTGTACACTTAGGAATCTATTGCCTTACACCTAGATCTTGTTACCCTGCTTAAATATTAAAGTGTTTTTACTTTATTTCGAATAGCAATATTCGTTTTTGAGTCAACAGCCCTGTCTGTTCAATCGAGCGCTGGATGATTCGTTTGTTCAGTTCGAAAGAGTTGATTCTTTTGAAGCCGATTTAAATTCTGTTATATTCCCTTTGAGCTAATTTAAAGTTAACGCACTGGATAATTGTGTATTACGTGTGTGAGGATCCACATGCAGAGCTCAGATTCAACATCTAACCTTTTAATCTCAAATGGAAAAAAATCACATGACTCATTTATTATGGGATTAATCATTAGTTGCAGACCTAATAGAGATGGTCCACCTGAGAGCAGGTGGTGTGTGTTCACTCCTAAAATTGTTTTCTGGGCGATTCATAGACGCGTCACTCTTCAGAGACACACAGCTGGGCTCTGCTTCTGCTCTCCTCCTCTTCTGTAAGCTGAAACAGAGGAGATTAAAGTTCAGCGCTGCACACACTGGACTCAACACAGCAGATATTTCTCATTCTTCATTTAAATAAACTCCTGAAGCAGCACTTCATACATTCATTTCCATTATATCTGAACAGAAACTGTCTGGATGTGTTAAATGAGTTAAAAGATCAGACAGAGATAAATATCAGCAAACACAGATCAATGAGCACTTCTAGAACGAAGACATAAGAGAAACTCAGCACTATTAGAGCAGATCAGGGCTGAATCAACTCATCATCAGAATCACTGAATGAAGCTGACAGTGTAGGTGTGGGAGGAGCTTAATCATGCAGGTGTGTCAATCATCATCACATGACTATATAAGCAGCAGTATAAACTGCACTGTGTCAGCTGACTGTTATTCCCGCCTCCAGCAGCTCCCCTTATCCTCCTCCTCATCACTCAGTCTTCAGAAGGTCACTCATCGGGGGTTTGTCTGCAGAGCTCCAGTCCAGACTTTGAGGACAGCAAGACAAGTTCATTTACCATCATCTATCATGACTGAATGAGCAGGAGAACTCGAGAAATATCAATTCTAGAAACCAAATGTGTTGATCAGCAGCATCTATGAGGCCAACACAACATGATGATGACTGCGCTTCAGTGAAAACAGACTCAGATCAGAGGAATGGCTGATCAGTACAGCACAGAAACAGCAGGGGAAAGTGTGCAGGAAAAGCCCTTTATGGCAGGAGATCGGGAACACTTTAGTTCAGCTCACAATTCATACTATTAACTACCGGCTTATTATCTGTGGAATGTGAACATATGAACTGCTCATTAGTAGTCATACAGTATGATCTTATTGTGGATCCCTAACCCTACCCAAAACCTAAACCCACCTTCTACCTCACTAACTATTAATAAAGCGCTGATTGGTTTGTTAACACCATCAATTGTGGCCTGAAGTGTAAAGCGGAGATCTTCAAGCACTATCCTGCAGAGCTCAGATACAACATCTAACATCTGAAACCCAACAGATCCACAACACTAATTACCTGATTCATTTATTATGAAAATACTCATCAGCTGCAGATATTAAAGAGATGATCTACCTGACAGCAGGTCCTGTGTTTCCACTCTTAAATTTTACTGGGTGATCCATAGACGCGTCACTCTTCATAGACACACAGCTGGGCTCTGCTTCTGCTCTCTTCTGATGAACTGAACTAAAACAGAGAAGATTAAAGTTCAGCGCTGCACACACTGGAGTCAACACAGCAGATTTACTCAACATTTCATCATTAAAACACTGTTTAAACAGCACTTCATGATACTTTTCATGATGATTGTACACAATCTTGCTGGCTGAGTGTGTTAAATATTAAGACAGATTAAAAACACAACTAACAGAGAGTAAATATAATATCCCCAGACAGCTCACATATGTTGGGCCGATGTCAGCCGAAGGTCAACACGTCGGTCCCTTTAATTCTAACATCTATATATGTTCAGCCAAACATACGCATGTTCATTCGGTCGTGTGTTCTATTGTTCCAGCTCATCAAACCTCGGCTCTGCATCGGTTAATGACCAGAGGCCGACGAAGCACTTCATAAGCACTTTATCTCTCATGCCCATGAAAGAATCCGGCAGCATATTTGGTTTACAAGTAAGTTTTCGCGTGCATAATAAATGAAACAAACGCGACATACATCATGTCTATTGCGTCAGTCGGTCCAGCTTTAAATTGCCTGCATTAATGCATCAAAACTGACCAAAATATCTACAACATATCATTTCAATTCATTATAATATAAGAAAGTTTTGTTTTCATTGTTATGTTTTTTTTTAATAATAAAAACATTTTGTCCTGCTGTAAACTGGTTTGCTTTTTTTATTGTGGCTTTTTCTAAGGCATTTTTCCCAGTGTAAGTTAAAATCAAAGTCTGTTCTGCATTTCAGCTGTTAAATTAAAATAAATACCTTTTTACAGAGTGACATCTTTATTTTATATACATGCATTTTTATTTAGTGCTTTGTAGGGAGTCAACGGATCGTTCCAGAACCGAAACAAGTCACAGACTATATTTTTCTTAAAAGATTGGTTGGTGCCTAAATGTCTGAGCTTTGATTTCATTTTCAAAGCAATCCACAGGCACCCAGCAAAAGGCAAATCCACAGGATAACTAGCCAGTCAACATCACAGTTGCGTGTTAATTAACTTTACACCTTAAAACAATAAGAGGCTCTACAATCAAAAACCCACCAAACCGGTTTTTGAGAAGTACCTTTTGGTTCGCGTGTCCTTTAGCGTCTGCAAGGAATACACATTCTCAGGCAGACACAGAAGCGATCAGAAACGCTTGCAAAGTTTAATGGACATACAGTAAAACTGTGTTTATTTGAGTAATGTACGTTTGCTTTATGTTTCTGTAGGTTTTTGTGTGTACATGTTCCATGTGTTTAACAAAACTGTTATAGATAGTTCTTGAGTAATAGCCCTCAGTGACAAATGAAATCTACAGAATGTTTATGAAATACTTCATGTTTGGTATTAATTGAAAGCTAGGAAAGTTTCAAATGCATTGGTTTATATGAAGAAACCATATTATGAAAGGTGTCCATGTTATGAGACTTTATTTTAACAACTATGCTATCAAAGCAGCACCGACACAATTTGCTAACCCGGCCTTCTAGAGGGCGGAATTGGTGTGTGACTCCACCCTGCACCTTCTCTGATTGGACAAGTATTGTGTAGACCCAGCCTCTACCAAAGCCTATAAACTTTGAACTAGGAAATTTCATCGTCGTCTTTTGCCGGTCATCTTTGCCAGTCGTCACCGCCGTCGCTGCCCGGACGTTGCTCTTCTCGTGCTGTGGCCGTTACATCGCCTCGCCGGAAGCCTCGTTACATCACAGAGCAGACCGCGACCTTCACTTGCTGCCGGCTCGACCCCCGATCTGCTTGTGCAACCGCTTCAACAACAAGCCATCGGGTCAACACATCCAAACTCTGAAACTCATCATAACTACAGGAACCCAGGAAGGACTTCGAACGCCGCCTTGTCCAACATCCGTATCCCTAGCAACCGACTAAGGAAACCCCTCTTCACAGACAAGGGAATTCCATCACGTCACTGAAGTTGCTACGCTGACCAATCAGCTTCGCCGGGATTTCCCTTTGGACCAGTCGAGGAAACCAAAATGACATCAGAACGCAAGTAGCACAAACAAGGTTTCTACCCATTACTGAATCTGGTGTGAATTATGTTTAAGTAGTAAAGAATAGCGAAATTCTCTGCTTTTATGGTTTCTCTCAGGTTGCAATGCTAAGAACTTAGCAAAGGCTAGAAGTTAAATCCACTCAGTCAAAACTCTCCTCAAACTGCTTGTGCGTGTGTGTATGTATGTGCATTTGTTTGTTTTACGTAGATTAGTACTTTGTGTTATAGAGTAGCAATAAACTTTTGTTTGGTTTTAAGATCCGTGTTGGTGTGTTGTGTGCTTTATAAGTTAATGCCTCAGCTTCAGATACTGCTACCTTGCTCATTAAATAATTAGATACTGTTTTTATATTGTTATTGTTGGCCACGTAATAATATAATACAGAACTGCTTTACACTAAACGTTCTATTTGCTGGACAAATACTTAAGTTAAGTGTAAGCTTTATATAATTCTATGTGAATCATGTTCGAATCTTTGATTCGAATTCCCAAAGTTTAAACATGATTTAAACCAAAGAGCTGATTCTTACAGCTTATTTATTTTTGACAGTGAATCTGAGGCACAAATAAAGCGTGACTTTGTTTTGTAACAGTTTATAACAATTTATAAGCTCATCTTAAAAATAATAGCGTATATAAAACCGCTAAATGCATTTTAAATTCAAGATTTAATATAAAAGGTTATTATTTAAATTGTTTATGGAGTGATCATGTTTATTTATGTAAAGTGGTGTGGGAGGAGCTTAATCATGCAGGCGTGTCAATCATCATCACATGACTATATAAGCAGCAGTATAAACTGCACTGTGTCAGCTGACTGTTATTCCCGCCTCCAGCAGCTCCCCTTATCCTCCTCCTCATCACTCAGTCTTCAGAAGGTCACTCATCGGGGGTTTGTCTGCAGAGCTCCAGTCCAGACTTTGAGGACAGCAAGACAAGTTCATTTACCATCATCTATCATGACTGAATGAGCAGGAGAACTCGAGAAATATCAATTCTAGAAACCAAATGTGTTGATCAGCAGCATCTATGAGGCCAACACAACATGATGATGACTGCGCTTCAGTGAAAACAGACTCAGATCAGAGGAATGGCTGATCAGTACAGCACAGAAACAGCAGGGGAAAGTGTGCAGGAAAAGCCCTTTATGGCAGGAGATCTTCAACCCTGGAGAGACACTATCCTGCAGAGCTCAGAAACAACATCTCACCTTTTAATCTCAAATAAATGAAAAAAATCACTTGACTCATTTATTATGGGACTAATCATTAGTTGCAGATCTAATAGAGATGATCTACCTGAGGACAGCAGGTGGTGTGAGTTCACTCCTAAAATCAACTCCTGGATTATCCATAGATGCGTCACTCTTCATAGACACACAGCTGGGCTCTGCTTCTGCTCTCTTCTGATGAACTGAACTAAAACAGTTCAGATTAAAGTTCAGCGCTGCATTTTATATCATTTAATTTATATTAGTACAAAAACTCTTGCGTTACGTTATCATAGACAAAATTACCCACAAATAACTATCAAGTATCTTTTTTGTTACAATCGAAGAAATAAATGTAATGTGTTGGTCTAATACCTGTGTCCTGTAGACAAATCCTGATCTCCAGAAGTGTGTGTGTCCTCCATGATGGATGTGTAGAGTGTGATGTCCAGTAGAAACTATAGCAGACACTGAGAAACAATCACAGATGTGCAGTCATTGATCAGCCTTCATCATTGAGCTGAATTCAGCAGGAATAGATCAGCAGCTGTGAAACGAAATCCAAAGTTCGACACGAGTAAACAAAAGAAAAACCGTACTGTCATTATTCATTTGATTATGATAAAATTATATATATATATATATATATATACATATATAACCTTACATGTTTTGTGAAGACATTAAAGATTTAAAGTTGTTCTGCGTTGTAAATGCTGGATTCTGTCTGTTTAAAATGGCGACACAACAATGAGGCACTTTCACTTTCGTTTATGAAGGCCGGTGATGTGCCGAATACTGTGGCCAGGGGGCGCTGTTCAGTAAAATATTAACTCGGGAACGCCTTGGTTGCACTTGCACGCGATCGTGAACAAACGATCGAAAATCAAGCGATCCTCGTCGAGTGGCGCAGTAAATGATGTTTTAATGCTAAGATTGAGCAAACATGTTCATTGGAGAACTTTAATTCACTGTACAGCGACTCTGATTACAGATTTCAGCACAACTGCGTCACGAGTTCAGTAAAAAAACATCCGCCTCCGCCACAAACACCCTAAACAGAGCAGATATAGACATACAGGATCCCAAAGGAAATGCAGGCAGTTACATTTAATCAAAAGACATGTAGGGGTTTAGTTAAGTGACTTTACCTGAAGCAGTATAAACACTGGACACGGAGCACAGTAAATACGCCACATATATCTTCCTTCTTCTTCTGGCAGTATGTTGAGTTAGAGTTAGACAGCAGAGTAGTAAAGTTGATACTGTTTACCTATCACGTTTTGCAATCGGCAAAGCAGAACGGAGCACACACCGTTTACCAATTCAGGATGGATAACTCGCAAAGCAAAACTTTCCTGCGTGCCTTCTTAACGGATCGCTATCAATCCGCATTGAAAGCAAGAGAATATAAACGTAAGAGGCGGGGCAAGGGTTTACGTTTTTCAAAAGAAAAGTTTTAAACATTTGTAGGTAAATTCGAATAAATTCAATTGTGGGAACTTTCCCTGTTGAAATTTTACAATATTGACTCTCTTCAGCTGATTATTAATAATAAGAATAATACGTTTCTTAAAGCTTATGATAATATTTTTTTCTTAATGATTGAGGTTTGTAATTTTTTTTTCTTCTTTCTTATTTTTTGTTATTGTATTTTTCTTCGATGCAGTGATGTTATTATTCTTGTATTCAATAAAAAAAAATTGTGGGAATAATTGGGGGATTATTCGGTAATTGTGAAAAATATGAGAATACAGAAACATGAAATTGTTTTTGAGTATGCAGCATATGAAAGAGATAAATCAAGGTTAAATCATGATTTATAGCTGAAAATGTATAATTAGGAAAGGGTAAAGTCCTCAAATGTATAATTAGGAAAGGGTAAAGTCCTCAAGAGATCTTCGAAGTTTATTTAAAAGTTTTAAAAAACAGGAATAATTAATATAATATCATATATTTATTTATGTGGTATTTTTTTTTCTTCGCTTAAAATGGTTTTAATGCAGAACTCCTATCCAGTAGGTGGTGGGAATGCCTACCGTCATTACGTTACCTCTATTCTATGAACGCAGATTTTACTCCGGTCGCCACTTATCTGTTGACAACATGAGTCTAACTGCATATGAAGACTTGATCATGAGTATGTACGAAAATGGACACACAGATACTGAAATTTCGTATCATTTATCGGAGCTAGGAATGCAGAGGGGGAATTCAGAACTCAATTTACGAAAATGTCGTTCTGAAAGAGGCGTTAAAAGAAAAAGCATCTCCGACGAGGAATTAAAGTTGGCGGTTTCAAGGGCAGTTATAGAGGTGAGTATTTTCCCTAAATGCTTTAACCTTTTTAAGAATTGAGCCTTAAAAATCTCATCTGCTAAACAGTATAAACCAGCCTAAGCTGCCTGAGTTACCAGGTAAATTCAACTTGACGAGCCTGTTTTAAGATGGGTATAAGTTTTGACTGGTTCACTGAAAAAGTTAAAAGCAAATTAGGTTAAATGTTATATGTACAATATTGTTTAACGAATAAAAACACTAATTACTAATTTCTTAAAAAGATATTGACCTTTATAACAGCAATGAATTATATTTACTTAATATTCTTATGTCATAATAACTATTATTTTTTTCCTATTTTATTTACAGACTGGACCGTATTATGGCCGCAAAATGATGACAGGCTACCTTGCTGCACAAGGTGTGCAGGCAGCAGAGGTTGGAGTGGGACAGATATCAACACAGATGCATGAACCATATCACCGGGCTCGATGCCAGGTATGCTGGATGGCATGATGCATTTATTTATAATGTAAAACACGTCATCTTGTCTTTGCATGTAAATGATTATACAGTGTGGAATCATGCATCAGTGTATTTCGTAACCAGTCTTCATAAAAGTTGAAAGTTGAAAATATATTGTACTTTTAGACTGCAATAGTACAGGATGTGTAAAGTAATCTTATGTAGTTCATACTTTATTATTTATTTAAATCCAGTCCCATACAACGCAGATTATGTAGGTCACAAACTCCACATGGACCAAAATGAGAAGCTTTGCATGTTTGGAGTCACACATGTTATCGCTATTGATGGCTCCAGCAAGAAAATTGTTGGCCATTCCACGACGCCAATTAAGAACAATTTAACCATTTATGAAGAGGTGTACAGGTAAGACTAAAACATTCTATTTTCCAATGTTTGTTTTTTTTTCTATCTACACTTTTGAACTACTGAATAAAGTACAGTTACACATAATTACAACAGTTATTACAACTTCAGCCCTAGATGCATAAATAGCCTATTTATAAGAAGTTGCGCTCTCAGAACTAAGGCTATTCATCATGTTAAATACCTTTTAATGAATCACAAAGGTGTTAGGTAGCACATAGACATTGAGACAAAGTGTAACCTTAAAAAAGAAATAAGGAAGAACAGTTAGGCTGCAACAACCTATAAAAAAACAATGTTAACATGTATGCCAAACCAAATGCAGGGATATGTTTGTCTACCGCAGGGGTTTTCAAAGTGTGAGGCGCGTCTCCCCTGGGGGGCGCCAGAGCATGTCAGGGGAGGCGCGGGAAAAATTTTTATATAATAAAAATATAATTTTTAAGTTTAATTATTATATGTATTTTTTATTATATTTAAAAGTTTTAATTAAACAAAGCTAAAAAAAATAATACGTCAAAAATAAGAAAACCTTTTTTACCCAGAAGGCCATAGCTGTGAATTCGCTTCTGTTAGGCAAGCCCGCCAATACAGGTATATGCCTGCTAATACAACGGATCGGTTTCTGAGACCCCCCGATTCAAAGCCTTCAAGTTCAGGGCTTAAACCCAAAAGACGACGATATGATGATCAGTATTTGAGTTTAGGATTTACGTGGACAGGACCAGCTGATGAACCACGACCTTTATGTGTGGTTTGTCAAGATATTTTGGCTAATGACAGCATGAGACCCGCTAAACTTTGACTGCTTTGACTGGGATGGACAGTTCTTTGATCTGTTCTATTCATATTAATCATCATCCTAGTTTTAAAAACGTTATATTAAAATACTTGTTATTACTCTGTAAATAATTGCACTTTCATGCAAATGATGATAAAAGTGAGTTAACAGTCTGACATCTGTCTGTGTCTTTATATATACTGTGTGTATATACATATATATATATATATATATATGTGTATGTGTGTGTGTGTGTGTGTGTGTGTGTGTGTGCGTGTGTGTGTGTGTGCGTGCGTGCATGTTTGGGAGGAGGGGGGCACCAGTGGATAAGTTGTGTCAAAAGGGAGGCCCACTGTCTTAGACTTTGAAAAACACTGGTCTACTGTATCATTTATTAAAATATTGTAATTTTATCTTTCCCAATACTTGTTAAATCATTAAACTGACAACATTTTATAGTGTGTAACATTTTTACATAGTGTACTTTGCTTTAACTCCATAAAACCACTCTGTAGAGAGAATGTGTCCTGAAGTAATAAGCGGGTCAATTGTCCAATCAAGAGAGCGCTCATTCAGATGGTTGACCAGGAGTCTTTGGATAAGGAAGATGGGTTGACAAGATACTGTTTGTCCAACCTTACATGCCAGATCAGCCAGATTGGGGTGCAGAGATTTGTTAATGCATGGAACATTATTAACATCATTATATTACAGCTATGTTACAGTGCCTTAACATTTGTTTAGGCCAAAAATTGATGAACTTTTCTACATTTTGCTGTAAATCCACCTATGACTTGACATCACACACGTATAACTACCCATATACACGCAAGTAATATCCTGCTAGACCACTTCCTGTTGTTTATCTTTAAATCTAATCCTCATTCATTCATTTTCTTGTCGGCTTGGTCCCTTTATTAATCTGGGGTCGCCACAGCGGAATGAACCGCCAACTTATCCAGCAAGTTTTTACGCAGCGGATGCCCTTCCAGCCACAACCCATCTCTGGGAAACACACACACATTCATACACTACGGACAATTTAGCCTACCCAATTCACCTGTACCGCATGTCTTTGGGGAAAACCAGAGCACCCGAGGAAACCCACGCGAACGCAGGGAGAACCTGCAAACTCCACACAGAAACACCAACTGAGCCGAGGATCGAATCAGCGACCCAGCGACCTTATTGCTGTGAGGCGAACGTGCTACCCACTGCATCGCCTAAATCTAATCCTTCAGGAGAATATTTACAGGAACAGTAGGTATCTATGACCAGGGTGAATTAAGAGTGAACCAGGATTTGCTTTAATGTAAAATCAATAGTTTATTTTTTTACCTCAAAACTAAACCCTTAATTTCAAGGTAAAGGCATCCCCAATCTGCTGGCAAGAGATGGCTGCAAAACAAGGATTGTCGAGGAACTTTTGCCGAGGGCTTCAGAAGCTGCTGAGTTGTACCATCAGGAAATGGGACAGCGTTTGAACAGGTCGTCAGCATTTGGCATTGACCCATTCCGGTCCGAGGAGGATAAAATTAGGGCAGAGACAGAATTTAACTCTCTTTATTTTGACCTTGGAGACGTCTTGAACTACACTGTGAATGAGCATTGCTCAAGACTGTTTAACTCAGCTAATTAACATCACCAGAAGATGTGCACAGATATAACCCAAAGAGGTGCAAGAATAAATTCCTCAATGTTATTGTGTATATATTTTTTAATACTGTAATACATATGGTGTAGTCTACTGTAGCATGCACTGTATTTAATGCAAGACCAGCAGTTATAGTAACTACAGTAGTTAAATTAAAATAAGTATTCTGCAAAAAAAATATTTGAGATTGATTTGTATTTAAGCATACTGCAAATGAATTAAGCATTAAGCAAAACATACTGCTGATGACAAATTTAATGTAAGTTTTTTATTCTCAAACATGCCAACAGAATGTCTTTAAATCACAAACTGTATGAAAAAGGTGGTAATAACACTAACGTACTGTATTGTGTAAACTGCATATAAACATGCATACAAACTAATACATACATTTGAAATGAGGGGGGTGGGGGAGTTGGCTTTAGCTTAGCATAGATCATTGAATTAGATTAGACCAATAGCATCTTGCTAATAAAATAAAAAAAGTTCTGACTTTCCTATTTAAATTTTGACATTTGTCATCACATTCTGTAGTAAGACCAACAGAAAATTAAATTGTTGTTTTTAGGCAGATATGGCTCGGTTCTATACACATTCCAGTTTAATTTTGAAAGTATTTTGCTGCCATACCATGGCTGTAGCTAAAGAAACGCAAGCATTTGAAAACTGTTCCCAGCTAGGTAACAGCATTGCGTAATATTACACCTGTTACAATCATGGAGCAGCAGCAAAGTTCCTTGATTACACTGAAAGAAGACTACAGATCCTAGCCATATCGGACTAGAAGATTGACAAAATGAAAAGTTCCCATCTAAAACACAATGTCATAACAGAAGAGTCAAGCTTTTAAAAGGTAAAGCATTTAAAAAAATGCAAATGGCCAAACCCAATTAAATGATTCCTTCTAATCAAATGTGCTCTTGCCAGACCCAGAATTCAGCTTATAGGTTCAGTTGACAGCTTCAACAGGAGTTGTACTGTTCGTCTAAGGCCTTAATGACACTTAGGACCTCAGACAAGCCAGCCACAACCACAATAGAATCTCTTGACACTGCAGACCTGCATTTTATACAGGCTTGGCCCTCGTCCACTATTGCCTCTATGCATTGTCGACAGCCAGTAAGGCTACGGCAGCACCGTGACAAGACAGGACTGTCCATCACTCCTGTAATAAACACACACAGAAAAATATCATTAATCTGGAACTTTACATAGTTCTGGTACGTACTTCACACAGCTCATATGGTCAGGGCTGGATTAAGAACACACTGAGCCCTGGAGTTATAGCAAACCCAAGGACCCCAATTTATTTTATTGTTTTTTTTTTTCTATTAATTTTTTGCTAATTGATATTTTCATCTAATTTTCCACTATTTGATTTATACTGCATTTGATTATTATAAATGTTTTCTATTTGTAAGAGCTATTATGTTTGTTGTAATGCTGTTTTTGTCCACTGGGTGGAGTGTGGGTGTGGAGGAGTATATAGGTAGACAAAGACTTTGATCAGCAGGTGTGTAATTAGAGGGAAGCACAACATTTTTTGACCGTGTTTGAAAGAGCTTTATGGAGGCATTCAATGTGATTTTATGAGCATTTATATCAGACTGTAAGTGGAAATTGAGCCATGAGAACTGTCTGTGCAAAAAATAAACCTGATAAGCAGTATTTGGAAGATGATTCGTTTGTTGAGATCTCACGCGTCAGAAACAACCCTACAACACGTCAAGTGACAAAATGGTCATTTGTGTCACTACACATTGCTTAATATAAGAATGTTCAGTGCATTTGCCTGTCTCTTTATAACTATTTACAGAAGCCACCAAACTAGGTCAGAGGTCACGGAGACCTTGAGTGGAACTGAGGGCTGAGGACTGGAAGCAACTGTTTCTATTGTTATTTCCACAAGTTAATATTGTCTAAAATGTCTAAAGTGATTTTGCTATTTGTACGGTTAAATCTTTTAAAGTAATTCTACTTTTATTCAATATAGACTTTGTATAGTAAGAATATAACTGCCTGAATGTAGATGATACCGGTTTTTAACCAGTTTCGATAAAGATGGCTGAGAGTATACTCAGCCTTGGATAAGAAACAGATTGTACTTTAAGCGTGTGTGTTTTATTTGATTGTTGATCCGTTTCACAGGTCTGGAGTCAGCTCTAGTCAATCTAAGAGATGTCTGACGTTTATGCTTAAGATATTGTTCAGAATATACACACAAACCCCACGTGGAAATCTGTGTTTTAACCAGGTCAGGCTAGAACACCTATATGTGTGACGCAGTTAATGACGTTATGTGAGAGTATAATTGTTATTGATTGGTGATTGTAAGCAGAGCAGCCTAGAGGAACTCATTGCGAGTGTTGAAGCTGACTTATGTTGATGTAACTGTAAACCATCTTCAGTAAACTTGATTTATTCATTTAAATCTCTGACTCCGGCTCTTCTTCATCTACCAGACTGGTCATTCTTTAGGTCAAACTGTAAACTATCCCTACATGTAAGATCACTTTCATTAGGCTAACACACCCAATATTGAACATTAATCATTAAACACTTTAATAAGGGCCACAGATAATAATAACAGTGTACATGTGTATATGTCAGACAGTTAAGAGTGTGATAGTGAAATGACAACAGCTTTCATTCTGTACGATTAGCTCGTCTGTATGAGAATGTTTCATTAATCACACATGAACATGGTCATGGATTGATGTTTACGCTCATATCTGCGCTCGTTTCTACATTGCATTAATAAATGAGGCCCGTTGTGTTTGCATCTCTGTCTCTCTGTTCTGGGGATTATAGTTTGCCATGTCTGCCATCTTGTTACTTGGATTATTCTGCGTTTGCTCTGATCTTCACCTTGTCTTTGGGATTTTTATTGAATAGAAGCTGAACATCAATCCTCTGGCGTGTGTTACTCATAACTTTATATGACAAAGAGGATATTTCACTACCAGAGTGTTTTCAGATGCATTATCTAAAGTCATAAACTGCAGATAAATGTGTTATGGTCAGATATTTGTCCTTATCAGGAGTATAGATGAAGACATTCAGAAGAGTTTGAACTTGATATGACACTGCTCTTGTGTTTCTTATCTATCAAGCCTTTATAGTGTTGTGTAAATATAATAAAATCTTCTAACAACTCCTGAAATAGTCCATGAGAGAGCAATAATGTACAACACAACATACCTTTGAGCAGGTGATGGTGTTTCCTCAATGAAGTATGGTTGATGATCTTTAGACCGGTCACTCTTCAGAGACACAGAGCTGGACACACATGATCCTGATCTCACACTGAACACACAAACACACCAGAGGAATAAACTGCAGGACAAACTTCAGTCTCCTTTACAAGAGTTTATCAGACAAATATGAGTCTATTCAGTTTAATTCAGCACAAACTAATAGTTGACTGAAGGTCTGTCTGATCAGGTCACCAGATCGAGCTGTCTGTAATCTAGAATGATCTAAACACATTTGCTGAAGCTGTAAACTGAAGCTTTGTCCATCATTTGATCAGGCAATAGCAGCACAAATAAGTGCATTGTTGTTGGTGTTTGTTCTTCAGAGAAAGTGTTGAAATAATGGTGTAAAAACAGAGTCAATACCTGTGTTTCTCTGAGAGAGAGTCCTTTACTCGCTCCTCTGCCATACTGCAGCTAAAACACCAATGCAGACATTAGCAGAGCTTTCAGGAAACAATCAGCCGCTGACCATCACCTGGAGATGACAATATACTGAGATGAAGAACAGCACACTTTATAGCAATCAATGCTCACTTCACTAACAACACCGCTCTCAAACAGACCCGATAGTCATGCCACAGCATTCACATGCAGAAATATATATATATATATATATATATATACACACACAGGGCTCGACATTAACTGTTTTCATCACCAGCCACTTTGGCTAGTAGATCCCCAACATTACTAGCCATTCACCATGTTCACTAGCCATGACTTTGTTGTTGGAGAATATATTTTATATGCATAAATCTGACTTTGACATGCTAAAATGTCTTGATCTAGAGGTTGTGTGATGTCCTCATGCATTTCACTGTTCTCTGCGTTGTGTATGACCTTGCTTGATGTGCGTGAGCAAATGGGTTGTAGTGCAGCACCAGGCCCAGATTGGCTAATCGGGAGAATTCCTGGTGGGCCGGTGTGTTTTTTGGCCATGAGGGCTGGTGTCTCTAGCTGCTCGCACTCTCAGCAGTCACACTTTTGTTCATTTGTTTATGTATTTGAGCACAGCCTCACTCTTTTATTCATTATTTTGCCGCAGCTCTGCTCTTTTTCTTTATTTTCTCGCAGCCCCATGGGGAAAATGCAGCCTGCAGGTTAATGACGTAACATCATTCCACCCCAAACAGCGGCACCTCAGTGAAAGACTTTGAATAATTATTATTAATGAATATGACACTGCTCATGAAGATCTGCTGGTTCACTAGATTACAGTGTTTCTCCATTGGTTTGACTCTTTTCTTGAAACAGAAATGACGTTCTCAAAACTCTAAGATCATCTGGCAAAACACTACAGCTCACTTACAAAAGCTCATATCTTCCCCAAAACAGTTCACTTGCGTGTCAAAACTACATGATCTTCTCATTTAAACAGTCAGTGCCCCCAAACCGCTTCGTCCCTTCAGCATTGTGTGAGTGTAACCCCGCCGGACCTAAAATAACCCAACCTGTTCCAAGCTGGTATCGAACCGGCATCCTTCCGCATGGGAGTCGGTTGCTCTACCAAGGAGGCTAAAGACCATGGCCTCTAGCGTCTGTCGCTAGAGCACCCTTAGAGGTCAGAGGAGTGAGGTTTACCTGCACAGCACACACTAGCTGGCCTCCGTTACATGAGCACTGCAAGTCAAAATGTTCAGATGTTCGGTCATCATGGCAAAGCACCACTAAAACATCCCTCATGTCCACCTCACAGTCTCAGCCCAGTCCTTCACTGACAATGCTCACTGTACTGTTTCTGTCCAGCCGACAATGTATAAAACTGAAAACAGAAGCAGGATTTTAGGGTACGAGTAGCCTCCAAGGTTTGACGGCACACATTGCGCTCATACTGCCAGGGAAACGGTCACTCCTTTATTATTGTAATGATCAAGCACACACAAAGCATCTTCTATATATCAGAGCAAAAAGAGTAGAGAGCTGTAATAAACTGTCATCAAATGCTCCGAGCATTCACCTGCTGTATGGTGTTCATGCTGTTATGGTCTGGACTGATTTGGACAGTTGAACAGACTATTGTGCATGTGATGACTTATACAATGAAATGACGCCGACACGTTCTGGAGAGGAAGACCATTAGACTGAGAATTACCAATCAGTTTAGATCAACTAGATCTCTTCACCTGGAAACTGTCGGCTATCTGTACTTAATCATGTGCAAAGATGAACTTAGACATTTGCAATTTGATGAAATGAATGAGATATTCTGCTCTGCTGTGAACAATGGCCAAGTGGTTTGGAGGTTTGTCCATGTTGTTTTAAGAATGTAATTCCTGTTTCAGGAAATGAGCCAAACCAAAGAAGAAAAACTGAAATAAATCTGACATACCTTGATCAGAAATCTGAAAAGGAGAGTAAATGCTGAAGCCATTGTGGTCCAGCGGTCAGCACGTTTCATTATGACGCCGCTGACCGGAGTTCAAACCTCACCCGAGTCATTTATTTTCATTTTTAGTGCTAACACATGTAATACTGTTTGGGTCACTTATATAGGTGTACATATTTTATCTTATCGTGTGAGCACCGTCATAAAGGACTGGATATCTATAAAGAGTTCAGCACAGAATATATATTCAGATATTGCAGGAAAGGACGTTGTGCTGTTGTAAAGAATAGTGTTGGAGATTCAGCTCCCCTTTAATCTTAAAAGCAGCTGTGTCCTTGAAAAAGACGTGATCGTGTCATTAGAAACTGAACTGGAAATGACCTGAGTTTAATATAGTCAGTCGTGAACTGAGGTGGGCCGGTCTAAGCCTTGAAACTCCAGGGGTCTCATGTATCAACGCTGTGTACGCACGAAAACTTTGCGTACGCTAGGTTTCACGCTCAGAATCACTCACGTTTGGATTTACTAACAATGAACTGAACGTAGGAATGTGCGCAGCTTCACGGCAGCTTTCTGGCAGGCGTACGCACATTTTTTGTGTGTGTCTGTTTTATTTCCATTGGCGACTCCTAGAGGCAGTTGTGTTAAATTCCTCTCTACAAAGTGTCTGAGCCGTGCAATGGCAGCTGTATGAGACGGGTTCATCTAGCAGGTAAATAAGGTTTCCATACCATACAGTTGACCAGCTAAACATTAAAGCACAATTTGCAGCAGTCGCCTGTTTTCCCAATGTAATCTAAGCGATCTACCGCACGCACATTGCTATAAAGACACTATCTGAAGATGAATTTGCATGCGTGAATCAGAAATATTTCCATTCAATAAATGTGCAAATAAAATATGATGCACAAACTTATTGATGATTCCTACTTGTCTTTCTCGTGATAAATAGTGGGAAAAATCTGATATGTAGCGGGGAAAAAACAAGAAAGAGTTCATCAGACGCTGGATTCGAGCCGAGTTCACGCTCGAACGTATTAATTCATGATCACATGCGTCTTACGAGTAGTGCCACTGAGACTGTTGAGCGTCCTGCAACATTTTACAGATATAAACCACACTATTTCTTTTTTAATGCACACAGTGCGATGTTCAGACCCAACTGTGTTAATCGCATCAGCTTAACTCTCCCACTCTATTTTTTTCTTTTGTTGTTAATTCCGGAGGACAAACTTGCAAATAACACCGCTTTTCTCAGGTCTACCTCCGAAAGCAGCACCTCCAATTCACATTCTGTTCAAAGTTTCTCTTCTTGCTTGCTTTTGCCTTTGCTTTTTCGTTGGGTTTTGCCATTAGCATAGTCATTAGCATATTCATACGGGGGAGGAGGCAGGGAGGGGTTTTGTGCTCGTGCATGTTGCGCTCAGTTTCACGTTCATTCAGATGTACAAAAGAATATGCGTGAGATTCGGCGTACGCAGTCTTTCATACATCTGAATTTTTTTCTGCGTACGCACATTTACAGCTTTTTTTGCGTACGCAATGTTTTAGTAAAATTTCCACACAAGTCTTCGTACATGAGGCCCCAGGGCTGTAAAGGAGTCCCACTGCGGCCCTGTGTAGCACTGCAATTAGTTTCTATTATACGAGACTTTACAGGACTCAAAATTAAGCATTTACCAAATGTATCTCTGACCACAACAAAAATACATAATTATTTCTTAGCCACAAAATTTAAATGTGTAAAAACAAGCTCAATATAGCTGTATACATGCTCTTTTTATTTAACAAAACTGTTCTTTAATTGTCCTGGCTAAAGGCCCCAGATCACCAGTTAACCAGCGAGTTAATCTCCTATTAAAGCAATCTTAATATATATACACACACACAATTAAACCAAATTAACAAAAATAACAATCAGCAAAATAAAGCTGGTGAAAAGCATACCGTGTGATAACAGGATCACGTTAACATTAGAGCTGTTAATAATCTGTTTAAAGAATGGGGAAAGAAAAGAGAAAGCAGTAACCGGCGCCGCTGCTGCTTATAAAAATACATTTATTTTAAATCTGGAGCTCTTGAAAGCAGCAGGTCTGCAGATTCACAAGCATCACCTTTTGTCCAGTCGAGTTTAAAGAGAGCAGATCGCGCCAGGTGAGTTTCCAGGCACGGTCGCTTCGCGGAAGAAAACGGGAGCGCGCACGCTTTGTAAACAGCCGCTCGCATCACATGACCTGTGCGCGCGAGTGATCTTTCTTCTGCTCGCGTGAAGACAGTTGTTTTCATCAGTCCTGCTGCTGCTTCTCGATTCTAAGATCACATATGCATACTGGGCTATCTTTAACGTCAAACCCTGCTTTTAAGAAAGCTACAATTTGAAAAGTGTTTCCCGCCAGGAGCGTCTGTCTTACCCGCCGCTGCTGAAATATATACATCCGCATTCTTCCTGTTTACTGAAGCTCTGCTTTCACTTTCGATTTCGTGACTGTTTAAAGTTGATTTTGTGCTGAATGATGTGAAACTATCGAGTCAATCTGATATAGAAGAGCACAAACACTTTCAAGAGATAAAAACCCATTATATTGTTGAAATGACCGTGTTTTGACCGTGTTTGGTTTGAGGCTTTGAGCTTCAGGAGCAGACAGTGCTATAAATCACGCTTATAAACACGCTTATACACATATAAACCCTTCATCATCTCCACAAATCAGCGTAATGTAGAAGTGTTAAACTCACATGCAGAAGTACAGACGCTCTTGTGCAGCAGGAACACAATCTGAGCTCTTTCACTCTTTCACTTCACTAAAACACCTGTGTGATCTACAGGTGTATCCTGAAATATTACTGGCTCCACTGACATGAATATTCATGAGATTCTCCTGACTGTGGGCGTGTCCTCGAGACAACACTGGAGCTGAAGATATCTGTGCAGCTTCTCTGAGCTCGAGTGTGTTGAAGGAAGATTTCGAGAAAGTTTTAAGAAAACAAATGAGTGTTGGAGCTATAAAATAAGAATATAGATAACATTATGGGTCTATATATGAATACAGCACTTACAGATCTCTGTGTTAGTTCATATATTCTACAGGACACTTTACAATAAGACCATTAGATCAGTCAGTACTGGAACTGATATAACAAGCAACACAAGATGATCAGGATGCTGAAACCAGCACAGAATATTACTGTTAGACACAACATTAGCTGAACCCAGTGAATATACAAGGG